GAACCGACAGCTTCCCGATTTATTGGTCGGATTAATAACAATATATACCATATGATCCTTAATCCTTGCAATAACAACGAATTTTATTGTTCCTCGGTATCATCGTCTATATATGTACACGTAAACTCACGTAAGCAAATCTAAAGATTTTACGCTCTGTTCAAGGTTTGTAGCGCGCCCTCCCCATCACTTCTCGTTGTAACGCGTTTGCAACGCGCGGAACTACATCACTAATATTTTACTCGCCACTGGGTGAAAAACAATCGATAAACAAAGAGACAAAAACAAAAAAAGAAACGAAATAGATGAGAGTAGATCAAAACGGTTCCCCGAGTGTTTCGATAGAAAGAACGAAATGCAAAATAAAAATGCAACGGACAAGCTCGATAAACATCCGCGAGATCGTCAACAACAATCAGACAAAAAATAAATTAAAAACTAGAATGTAAAATTTCTTTGTTCTTTACAGTAAACGTATATACACATACATATACATATATATGTATTCCTTTCTCCACCGACTAGAGTGTTTGGTTCAAGACACGCGTTGATGATCGAATCAAATTCGCAGTCTGTTCGACGCGCACTGCTCCCGCTTGCCAATAGCTTGATCGATTATCCTCCGAATGAAAAATGCTACGTTAAGGTAACGGCGAACTTCTCTGTTCTGCGGTGAAAAGTTGAGGACCAATTTACCGTGATTTACGCGCACTCGGAAGTCTAAGTACAACTTTTCCAATTCTTCCGGCGGGCGGGGAAAGAATGTTACAGAGAAACATATACAAAAACGTAAACGAAATGCATGAACGGTTCCCAGTGGAATAGAAACGATAATTTCCGTGCAAACGCGATCTCCCATCCGCGGTGCTCGAAGATCTCGGCCAATGAAAATCAAATTCAACCACGGTATCGGATCGTAAATGTCGCGAATTGACCGTCAACGAGAATTCCAACATTCCTCTGCGTGTGCACGCGCGTGTGCGCGTATCCCGCGATTCCAGGAGAAAAGAAAAGTAATTATTGTTTCGTGGCGAACGCAGCATCCGGTTCCCGGCAGAGCGGCGATTCACACGGCGCCCAAATCTCAGTTACAAAAGGAATAGTCGAAGGTAAACAAGACGATAAAAATGTACTTCCTAAACGTAGGTAGAAATTGGTAACTTTGACTCACTCATTGAAAAAGTATCTTTCTTTTTTTTTATCCTCTTTTCCTTTCGCCAATCCGGCATTCGTGCTTCCATTCTGCCCGTCGTTTCTGGGTTAACGTTTGCATCTCACGCTTCTTTCGCTGTACCGTGGCAAGCGGCGCAAATTTTCAGTGTCGACCAAATTGGTTCATCAGTGACAGGCGCGCGGTCGAAATTCCACGCGGAAAGTTTACGCGTGTCGATGAAAGGGGAAAAGAAGAAACTGATCGGCAGCGATACGGACACCATTCTTCCTTTTTGGAAATGCGACGAACGAGAAGAATATTCTAATGACAAACAGAATCTTAAACTATTGTTCGATTCGCGAATATTTTCTTGTACGCAAACGGTTCGAATAGTTTTGATGTTGTAACGTTTGGTTCGCCGGTTCATTGTTCGTAAATTCTATCGAGCGCCCTTGTCGATCCGCGCAATTAAGATCGTAATTTTACTAATTTAATAAGATCGTAATTTTGAATACTTTTCCAAGGAGCAACAAGGTAACGTGTGAATATAAAAAGGAATCGATGAAACAACAGTAACGTGTCGCGCAATTTCGCTCGAGCCCGATCACTTTTCGCTTCTCCGTTTCCTCGCACCAAATCCGGAAGCACCGCGGCTGCCGCTCGACACTGTACAAGAGCAGGTATAACACGGAATTATACAAAGAGACAGGACTAGTACTTTCAACATAGTTATTATTAAACCTTTCGTACAATATGTACAAAGTAAAACC